TGGAATATTTTCAGCCATTATCCAAGTAATTTTTTTAGCCCTCTTTTCTCCTTTTCTTCCAGATGTCTATTGACATAAATATTAGATCTTAGAGGCCCTTGGGTTCCTAGGTCTTCATCTTCTTCTTTTTTAAATCAGCCAATTTATTTTGTCTCTTTTCAGAATGGATAATATGTACTGTTTTGTCTTCAATTTCACCAGTTCTTTCCTCTATCTTTTCCATCTTTTTTTTCTTTTTTTTTTTTTTTTTTGAGACAGAGCCTTAAGCTGTCCCCCTGGGTAGAGCGCCGTGGCATTACAGCTCACAGCAACCTCCAACTCCTGGGCTCAAGTGAGTCTCCTGCCTCAGCCTCCCAAGTAGCTGGGACCACAGGCGCCCGCCACAACGCCCGGCTATTTTTTGGTTGCAGCCATCATTGTTGTTTTGGCGGGCCGGGCTGGATTGGAACCTACCACCTTAGGTGTATGTGGCTGGCGCCTTAGCCACTTGAGCCACAAGTGCCAAGCCTATCTTTTCCATCTTAATGTTGAACCCATCTGCTAATCTGTTTAGTTTGGTTGTTTTCTAAAATTTTCATTTGGTTCTTTTTCATGTCTCTTGTTTCTTTGCTGAGATTTTCTATTTCTTTACTGCAGGTTTCTGCTTTTTTGTTGTTGTTGTTGTTGATTTAAGAGTGTTCACAATCGCTTGTTCAAATATTTTTTGATGATTCCTTTAAAATATTTGTCATGCAATCCTAACATCTTTCTAATCTCAATGTTGACATCGATTGATTATATTCTCTTATTCAGTTTGAAAGCGTTCTGGTAACTCATTTTTTATTAAAACCTGGACATTTAGAGTGTTACATTATAAGACTCTGAATCTTGTTTAAATTTGTTTTAGCTGGTTTTCTCTGACACTGTTTTAATGGGGGTGATGGTGGGCTGTTTGCCAGTACTAACTGCCTTAGTACTGTCAGGCAGGAGTCATGGTTTCTCACTCTGTTTCCACTGATACCCAAGGAGGGGAGAGGGGCTCCTCATTACTTCTGGGTGGAGTTGGGAATTCTGGATTTTCATCAGGAGAGGGAGAGATAAGAGTGTCTTATTATTACTCCACACATGTTCTCTACCGACACTGTGTGTGGGAATTGCCTTTACTGCCTGTCAAGGATGAAGGTCCTGATTCCTTATCTAGCCTTCTCTGATAGAACCCCAGAAAAAGTGTTGGGGTACCTTTTTATATCCTGGCAAGAGAAGAACTCCCCCCCCCTTTGGTGTTATAATTTCCTTTTAGAAATTATTTTTTAAAAAGTTTCTGTCTTGCTATGCTGATCCTTTCCTGGTCCTATGGCTAGAGAGAACATGCTTTTCAAGGTCTTTTTATGTTTTCAGCTGTTGGTATTTCTGAGTTACTGGCTTTCCCATCACCCAGCCTCAGATATGTTTGGAAAAGAAAAAAAGCAAAGCCAGAGAACTCACTGCCATGCCCTTCTTTGGATTCTGAGGTCCCTAACCTGTCTGCCTTCTTCTCTCCATTTGTCAGAGTCTTCTTATGTTTGTTTTATACATTGTGCTAGCATGTTTCGTTGTAATTAGCAGGAAGGATAGAGAAAGTGTACTTATTCCATCTTCCTGGAAGCAGAAGTTCTCTACTTTCAGTTTATATGGTCTTTATGTTTTCCACATTAAGTAGTTTTAGACCATATCACAGCTTTAAGATAACATTTGTAAACATTCCTTTAGAATAAGTCTAATGACACGGCTAAAATTTTTCTGGATGAATCATGCTATATTTAATATTATTTGTTTATGTGAAAGTACGTAGCTGAAATTTTTTTTTAAAGACTATTATTTGAACTAAAAATTCATGGTATATCCTTGAATTGAGTATAAAATTGAGAATGAACTAGCAGTTAGAAAGCCAAGTTCTAGTTCAGCCTTCCGCTATCCAGCTCTGACCTTGGGCAGCTCTCCCTTGGCATCTCAGTATTCTCATCTGAATGAAGAGGGTTGGACTCACTAGATGATCTCTAAGGTTCCCTCTAGCGTCAACATTTTTATTTTCCTCTCCCCATAGTCAACTATTCTTTTAAAACAATATGTAGACTTTCTGTTATACAGGGTTTAAATTTTGTTGATTAAACCAAGTAAAATCCTTGAAATTATGTAAGACAAATAGGGATAGATATTATTTATTGACTGCTTTCTGTAGTCCAAGCCCTACAGGTAGTGATTCACACATATAATCTTATTCAATTCTGAAAATGTTGAAGTAGAGGTGACACACATTTAATAGATGAGAAAACTAAAGCTCAGAAAGGTAAAAAATGGGTCCAAGAATATTTTGTTATAAATATGTATTTGACTCCATTTGATTCCAGAGCTGATGTTCACAACCATTTAGATACACTTTTTATTTATTTTTTTAAATTTTGGACCATTTTTTCAAAAAACAAATTATTTTATAGAAATAAAATCCTAAAGCAAAGGTTCTGGGTAGCTAAGAGATACATTTTAACTTTTCCAGTCACTTTATTTTGCTTGGATTCATTTTTTAGCTACACAAATTATAAACACAGAAAACAGATGCATATAGCTTATTTTTTTCTGTTTATTCTTATTATTCATCACTTATTATCAAGTACAGAAAGCATTATTATACTTGAGAGGTAAGAGAATAAACTTAGGATTATACAATTATTTCTCAAAAACAAAAATTTAGCAAGTTTTCATAAACGATAGTATCACAGGAGAGTCTCAGGAACTAGAAAAAAATGTCTTTATGTGTAGATTTTACTCATATATGAAAAATGGATAAGGAACCATTAATAAGACCATTTGAGCAAATCAAAAGGTGAAGAAGAAATTAAAAATAAAAAATTAATTTCAAGAAGAAATTAAAAATAAAAAGAGGAAACAGAAGAATAGACAGAAAACAATGCCAAATTTAACAGTATATAATAACATCAGCACTTTTACATGGTACTACTTCCTAAAAAATATTTCATTAAAACTATTGTTTGGTTTTAAGTAAATTAAGTGAGCATGCATTACAAAATGAACTCTTGAATAATCTGCAGTTTGCTGAGATCTTACATTTTCTTAGAACCAAAGTTGTGTTAAAAAAAGATTGATCCTCTTAATTGAAAACAATCCTGTAAGTTTGTGTAGATAACCAGATATTTATGTAGCAAAAGACTGAAGAATTTACAATACTATGATTAACATGGAAGGGAGAGAATAACAATGTGAGAAGCCAGGACCACATAACCCTAATTTTACCCTTTTCTTTCATCATGAAGCTCTCCCTAACTTTCCACTGGTTCACTCTGTGAGATTTTCTACATTAATCTGCAGGGGTATTCCAATGGAAGTTATCCAAATTTCACCTTATTATTTCACATTCTCAGAATTACTGATGGAACCCACTAGTGAAGAGTTGTTGCAATTTCATTCTTTCATTAGGATCTAGGAAGCTGGTAATTGGCTCTGTAATCTTGTTCGGAAATCAAAGTAGGCTTTTCGATGAAAATCATTTTCCTTTCAGAAAGTTACCATGATTTTGGTAAATACAGAACTGGTTCCTGGCTAGAAGTTTTGCCATAAACTTATTTTGTGGAGATGGTAAACTGGTATAAAGAAGCAGCTTTCAAATTATTTTTAGTTTTTATTGTAACTAAACAAAAAAAAAATCTGCTTCAAACAAAATATTACCTATAAATCCAAAATAAGATATATAAGACATAAAACTGCTCACTTCTAGATGGAGTGGAAGTAGGAATAAGGTAGAGCTCTATTGCTCATTCCACTCATGGATGAAGCATGTTCTACTGAATCCCTCAGAGCCTGGGCAGCACAGTTGGAAAAACCATCAGTGAAATACAAATATCTTAGGAATCAAAAGACCTAAATTCCCAGTCTTGCTATCAGCAAGCTGTGTTAACGAACCTCTGTGGGTTTATGCCTACCTCAAAGTTTTAAGTGTCAGTATATTTTTAATGTTAAAAGTTAAAAGAGTTCTGTGAAATTTACAATATAAATCTAAAATACCTATTAATAATTTCCCTGGCCTAAGCAATTTCAATTTTATTTATTTCCTTTTTACCCCATTTGGAATAATCAGTGGCATTAATATTTCATTGATTGGTTCAGCAAACAATATTGAGCGTCCGCTACCTGACAAGCTCGGTTAGGTAAGGAGGGTAGAAAAGATAAATAAAAGAATGTCCACTATTCTTCCTCCCAAATACAAAAGGTAATGTATTCTTACCAATGTGTTCTTTCCAATAGAACTTTATGGATTGTGATGCTACATCCTTCTAAATGATAGGGATGGCTCTGCAGAGGGACATTTAAAAACGAAATGAAAGGATAATTTCTTCAAGCAGAATACTTTGTTGCAGTTGACCTTTGATCAACTTGAACAAAGAGTTATTTAATTTTACAGAGTATGAAAGGCTTTTGCTTTCCCGACAAGTGGAGTATCTCCTAAATATGAAGCTGGTTCCACTGCCCAGAGATAGACTATCTCCCAATGCCAGCCATATTACCTGAATGATTCTGGGTTACTACTGGTTTCTTCGGATGGATTGGGATCAAGAGAGGAAGAGTTTTGAATGAAGATGCCACTAGAGTCCTTTAAAGATTTAGATGGAAACCGTGAAAGGCCCATTCCCACTAGACTTAAACCCAAATTCCCTAACTCTGATACTAGCAACATCCTCTGGGCAAATCTCCCTTTGTTGTCCAGACTAGTAGATCTCCCAGCTCATTCCAGAACGCACACCCACTCACCCGGAGAATGACTCTGCCATCCACCTCTTACTCTAGCCAGGCCAATGCTCATAGACCTACCCAACAGTTGACTTGCTTTCAAAGGCCACCACCATCACCCACCCCAGCACCATCTTCCAGGAACTGGCCTCTCCCCCATTAGTCTCCGCCCCTCCTGTGAGAGCACCCAATGGGTGGAGTCAGGGCTGCGGTAGGAGGGGCCTGAGGCGGGCGCATTTAAAGAAAGGCAGCGGTCGAAAGAAGGCAAGAGAGGAGAAGAAAGAGAAACCAGGGGGGGCGAGGCGCCGTCCAATGACAAAGCCCAGGGGTGGGCGCCGGCCGCCATCTTGTACCGGGCGGCAGTACATTCACCCGAGTCCTCCGCCCTCGGAGGGGGAGGGGCGGCGGCGGAGGCGAGAAAAGTAGAGAGACGCGCCGGGCAGAAGGCGCCAGCAGCAGCGGCCGCCGCCGCGGAGCCGGACGCGGGGAGGGACGGCGGCGGCAGAGAGACCCGGCGAACGCGGGCGGCCCCGAGCGGCCTTCGATGCGGCGCAGCGTGAAGAGGCGGCGGCGCCGGCCCCCGGCCGCCCCGGTTGCGGCCGCCCAGGGCGGCGGATTTAGGGCTGGAGGAGGGGCCGGGCTGGAGGCACGGGAGGAGAAGGTGGTGTACTCGCGCTCACAACTGTCGCTGGCCGACAGCACCAAGGCGCTGGGCGACGCCTTCAAGCTGTTTATGCCCTGCAGCACCGAGTTCATGAGCTCGGACGCGGAGCTCTGGAGCTTCCTCTGCAGCCTCAAGCACCAGTTCTCCCCGCACATCCTGCGCAGCAAGGACGTCTACGGCTACTCCTCCTGCCGGGCCCTGGTGCCCGACCCCCCGGCGCTCCCCGCCGCCCGCGGCCAGACGCGCCGGCCCGGCTCGCGCTCCGCGGCCAGGAGGAGGCGCCGCGGAGCGCGGGCGACGGCCGCCCTCAGGAGGAAGCCCCCGCCGCCGCCGCTGCCGCCGGCCCCCGAGGAGAACTGCCCGGTCAAGCCTGTGTCCCCCGGACCCTGCTTCGGGGGCCGCACCCTGGAGGAGATATGGAGGGCGGCCACCCCGACGCTGACCACCTTCCCCACCATCCGCGTCGGCAGCGACGTGTGGGGCGAGCGCAGCCTGGCGGCGGCGCGGCACAGAGCACGGCAAGTCCTGCGAGTGAACCTGGAACCCACGGTGAGGCTTCGCCGCTTCCCGGTGCCCCGGGCGTGAGCGCGGCCTCGAGGGCGCCTCCTGCCGGCGCCCGGCCCGGGGACTGCGCTTCCGCCCGGAGCAATGAACAAGTGTCAGTCGAGTGTTTACAGATCCGGCCAGGACCCTGTCCCCTAGTGCACTTTACGCGCGAAGAAGTCGCCGGATGGTTTTACCTGCCCCTCGCCGGCGGGACGCGGCGCCGCCGTCTGGGACTCCCCGGGCACGCGTGCCCTCTGCTGCTTCTGCACCGGGTCTGCGGAAGGAGGAGACAGCTGGACCCGCGGGGAAGCTCCCTTCAATTCCTAACCCCAGATTGAGACGTCTCCAGTACTATAGGGGCAGATCCGTGTTCTCCCTTTTGGACTCTACCTCATTGGTCTGGAAGTCCTCTGAAAAAGTCGTTATTTTTCCAAAGGAATTTGGTTTTGTGCTTGTGTAATAAAGCCAGAATATACTTGCTGGTTATCTCTCTTCACCTTTTTCTTTTTGACTGCCACCCCTCTTTCTGGACGGAAGATCGAACATGTTTTGTGGTGTTGCACTAGTTTGTGCTCAGGGTATTCTGAATCCCACTCGTTTCCTACTTTTTACTGGATTCCAAAGCTTTGACCAAGGATATTTTTTAAAAGGTTCAAGCTTGTGATTGTTAGTAGCAAGAATTTGTATGGCTTTGAATTTCATGGGCTCAGTGATTAGAAACAAAGAGGTGCAAAGTACAACTGTTTAAACATTTTTAAGGTGTTTCTAAAATTTTTATAATTTAATGTTTATATTTGCTGAGCTCCTAAAGAAAATGGTATAATGCACATGTAAAGTTTTGCTTGGGAAAAGTAGAGATGTTAAACTTTTTAATTGAATAAAATTAAAGTGCATTGAAACTACATGGCATGTGATAGACAAAAATAAATAAATAAATTGGAAAGACTGCTGTTGGTTACAGGAATGACCGGAATCCTATTGAAGATGATTTGGCCCTGTAGTCTAACATAGTATCCAGGCATAGTTATTTCAAGATGAGAGTTGCGTAGGAAAGATGCATGTGTGTAAGCATTGTGATTAAAATGACAAACAGAATACCCATTATAATTCTCAGAATTATGGATGAGCTAGAGGGGTGAGGGGCATTTCTTTGGTATCAAATACCTGGTCGAAATAACTTTGGGCAAAATAGATCTCTTTATTTCCTTCTTTGTTTTTATTGTTGGATAACAAATATCTGGACTAATATTCATCACTTTTATAAACATCATGACAATTAGTTGACTTTTTTGTACCATGATTTTTTTTTAATCTTCTTTCCATTCATAAGTATGTTTTGCAGTTCTAGGTCTTTGATTGACAGCTGAAGACCACAGGAATCAAACAGGCGAGCCACACAGAATACTGACCCATCTTTTATTATAGTGTTTATACCATATGGCCCAGTGTGGAATTCTTGATTATCCAAGTGCCTTTGGTCGTTGGTGGCAGTAAGACTTAATAGTTTTTAGCCAGTGGTGCCACAGTGTTGCGACCCAGTGGGCTCCTATGGCCCTGGTCCCCGTTAGTCGAGAGGTGGATTAGAAGTACAAGCTTGTGGAAGGTGGACTAGCCCGTACTTTCCGGGTAGTCCAGAGCAACCTCCGCACCAGCCTTTTATTGAAATGAATGATATAGGTGAGGGGAGTAATTAATAATGACTACGTGCTGAGGCCACGGGCTCCTTCTCCATAAGGAGCACCTGTGGACAAGTTGCCCGCGAGTCCACCCCTCTGCTGTAAATCATCTTGCTTAGAGGTCATTTGTCCCTTGGCGTCCTCTGCACCACAGCCAGCTTTTATTGCAATACCTAAAGGGTCAAGTAGTGTTTTTGTACCACTGTTATTTCAAGTTTAAGTATTCTGCCATGGAACGATCCATACTGGGCTGGAACTTGACCTGTGTAATCCTCAATGCTAAGGTTTATCTTTGCTTGGCAGCTTCTTAGGAGAATAATGAGAGTTGCAATTTTGACTTTCCTATTCCTAGAATTCAAATGGCATAGCTTTCTGAAATAAATTTTTCAAGTTTAATAGTCCATATAGCAGTGTTGTGACTTTAATTTCAGTGTTTTTGTTTTATAAATATATATGTATGACTTTATGCCAGTTTCCTACTAAGCTCAGTCTTTTATTCACTGCTCTTAATAATGCATTGTTAAAACACTGTCACATGAGTCAATAAAAAGTGAATAACTTAGAAGATGGGTAATGTTAAATTATGTATGTGTGATAGGAAGCTTAGACATCTTTTGGTTGTTAGCTTCCTTCCTTTGCCAGTGTTATTTCAGATACATAGGGTTTTCTTCCCCCTAATATATTAACTTTTATAGCTAACTAGCAGCTGGAAAAAAAACCATATTTATACCACTTCACTATTGTATATAGTTTTATAATAATTAAAAAATGAATCCGATGGCCATATTAGAATGTAATTTCAACCTATAGCTTACACAGACAGTTTCCCAGAGGATTTTGAAATTAGGCTTAGCTGGGAAGATAACTTTTTTCAGCACACAACTGAAATGTAATCATTGACACCAATCATTTATTTTTACTGAGATTCTTGACATTTTTTTCCTCTTATGCCTTGTTACTTTAGTGCACTTGAACTCACATAAATACTTCTTTGGATTATTTGGGCAGTCTGATTTTAGTTTGGATATGATCGCCCATCTAAAATTTAATATGTTATTCATCTAGGCTTATTTTTTAAAAAAATAATGCCATTTCTCATTTTTGAAATAAGATGTAAAAATATTTTTGCCAAGTTTTCTTTTGCAAACCTGTGTTACAACTTCTAAAATGTGAAGAAACGCCTAATATAGTTGACTAGTTTAGTAATAGAAAAGTGAAGGTCTTCTATAGGTGCTTTGGGGCAGAATGTGAAAAGAAACTTGGCACAGTGGCCTTTATGGAGAGGCGTCCATTCCCTTCCTGTAATGTGAGTCTGAAGCTTAGCTTGTGTATAGTTTTTAAGATAACTCCATAATCTGTATTCATATTCTCTTGCCTTCTTTCATATGGCACAAGTAGAGGGGAAGCTAGGAGGAAATCTATCACCTTGCTATGCTTTTATTTAATTTTTAACTCTTGAGTGCCTAAATGTGGTGACTGGCACCTCAGATAACCCTTTGAGATTCCTGATGTCGTTTTTATCCTTCCTGTCAACCAGCAACTTATTTTTACGTTACTATAAGCAGTAAGGGCATGATCGTTGAGGGCAAGCTTCCTTGTTGATAGTACAAAGTGTCGCTGTTGTGGTGTGTATTTATTTTGTCCAAGTTTGAGTACCCTGTTGGACAAGTGTAACTTAAACTGGTGATTGACAATTTGCTATGTGTAAATGATAGTACTATTTTTCAGAAAACTTTGAAAATATTTGATCTGAGCAAATTTTGAACTCAAAATTTGTTATTTTAAGGGTTGCCACAACACTCTTTCAACTGGTGGTTTTTAATGGACACATGCTTTATATTTACTTTACTGGTACATTTAAATATTTTTTGATAGACTGTTTTGTCTTAAGTGCATTAGAAAGCAATTGTTTGTAATGGAACCGAAGTGTTTCCTGGACAGTTTGATGTGCATATGATTAAGATTTATAATCTGGTTGTACTTTGCTTTTTAACTTATTAATTGTAAATAAATTTTAGAGAATACACAAAGTCCAGTTTCTCTAATGATGTTGAAAATGTTTGATACGGGATTTTATGTTTGCATGTGAATCAGAAGACATCTTAATGTGCAATTTGATAAAGTTTGACTCTTTCGTAAACTTCAAACTCTTGGAAATCTCAAGATTTGTGTTTTGTATTCCATCAGTTCTTTAATTATCTAGTGAATCTCGGACAGTGCTTCAAGCCCAAGGCTTTACCCAGTTTGCCAGCAATAAAAACTATTAAAAATGCGTTAAAACTCAGGGCTTTGGATCCTGACCCCAAGTCTCCTTCCTAGTGGTGATGACAAAAGGTCTGAAGCCCCCTCCCATTCTTTTGTATAATGAGAAAAGTCAGAGCTGCCCCATATGAATAGCAGCAGTAGAGGCTGTTGGGTGGGATAAGAGTAGGGCTAGAATTCTCATTGTCGTCTGCAAGGCAGAAGTGGAACAAACTCTGCAGCAGGGACTGGATTCATAGTACCGCATAGCACTGTCTTTGTACCTGAGTTCCTCTTAGTAGTTGGCGACAGCATAGCATAATAGCTGTGGAATCACAGTGGCTGGGATGGAATTAGGCATGGCTTCCTGATTTGGCAAGGGTGGAGACTGTAGGTAAATGACTTAAACTCTTTGTGCTTTTAGTTTCTTCAATTATCATCTGTGGGTAGTAAAAGAAACTACTGGGCTATTGTAAGAATTGAAAGAGATATTCATCCTAGGTAGATAATAAGTACTTAATAAATGCTCTTGGAGGTGTGCATGCTGAGGATGAGGATAAATGCTGAGAGTGGTCTGTGGGGAGTTTAGCTGTCCAGCTATGTCAGCATCCCCAGAATAGCGTGTGGTCTGGGAAAGCTATAAGACAAAAGAAGGTAATTTGTGGGTGAATTAAACCAAAGACATAAATGTATACTTTTTTTTTGGCTTGCTGACTATACAGCAAAAGGTTGGATTAAGTTGATTTATTGCCATTTTCACTGTTAGTGGTTTTCTTTAAAAAATTGGGCCGCCTTTTGTTATATCTCTGAAAGGCATTTAAAATGTGCTGTGTATTTTCAACTATCTGAGGATAATCTATAAATAGATTAAGGTTATTGATCCAAGAACTAGCAAAAATTTTGCCCTGAATTTCCCCTTGGAGTAAGAACCGTCTTAATGTACATGCACAGAACCAAGTTAGAGTTAGTTTGATTGAAGTTTGTACTTCAGTGTTAAAGAAGACAAAATGAGCAGAAAATTATTACTAAAAGGAAAAATGTTCTCCTATTTCAAGCACTGACACAATCATTTTTAGATGTCGGATATACAGCCTATAATTTAGCTCTAATTCCTCTTAGCACAAAGAACAGCGGAACACGCTCTAAGCTAGTGAGCAAGCCACCGTTGTAGTGTCTGAAGTTGCCACAAAAGAATTTCCTGGAAAAGCATTAGCTGGAAGTCATGCAGAAGCAAGAAGCTCAAAATCGAGCCTGATGGCAGATGTCACAAAGCAACGCCTTCTCACCGGCAGTGCTCTCTTTTGTCTCGGTAAATGTTGTTCTAAACCATGGTCCATAACTTGATAAACATAGCCAAAGTCCAGTTAGAAGGTAAGGATCATAATAACACCAAATGAATTTAGGTCAGCAAATTTGAACAAATTTCTACTGGACTCAAGTCTGGACTTAGCTTCTGAACGTGTGCATAGAAAAGTTAAACTGAGATTCTTCCAAGTAGTAAAATTGACTGTGAAATGTATTTCTCTCTTCTGAGGTTTTTTTCTGAGTACATATTCTTTAACTTTAAATGTTTATTTAAAGAGCATAGAAAACAGGATATGACTTAGGCTTCTGAATCTCACATAGTATGAGAATTATTAAAGCCAAAATTTATGTATAAAAAGTACACATATGTGTACAATTTGAGGAATTTCCACAAATTCAATAGACTTATGGAACTAGTGCTCAGGTTTGATTTTTAAAAAACTCAGCATTGTTAGTACCCCCAAGTCCCCCCAGCGTCCCGTCAGTCATTACCTGCACACCTTCCCCTCTAGATAACCAACCATTATTCTGACTTTACTGCATAGATAACTTTTGCCCATTCTTGGACTTTGTATAAATGAAATTATGCATCAGGTGCCTATCAGCTTCTTTCATTTGAAGTTATGTTTTGAGATTCAGTCATATCATTGCATGTGCTGTAATTGAAGATCATTTATTCTCATTGATGTATAGAGTTCCATTGTGTGACTATTCTATGATATTCATTATTTATTCAACTCTTGCTGGATGTTTGGGTAGACTTCAGTTTGGGACAATTATGAATAAAGCTTCAATGAACATTCAAGAACATGTCTTTTGGTGAACACGTGCATGTATTTTTTTTTGGAGTATTTATCTAGGCGTGAATTTGCTGGGTCACAAGGTCACAGAAAATTATCAGCTTTGGTAGATGCTGCTAAATGGTTTTCCAAAGTGATTATGTCAATTTACATAGACTGTCATAAAACTAGTCTTTAAAAAGTTCCTTTCCTCTTCAAAAGCTAAAGGAGTTTTGTTCTTTCTGCTTTTAACCTGAAATGAAAAGATATTTTCATTTAAGATGTTTTCTTCTTACCATTTTAAAACAGAGCTTTTTAAAAAAACATCTTTTATCTATTAGTTCTTTTCCTCTCCTTTCCTTTGTACAAAACCAGCTGTGAGATTAGGACAGTGTTGACTATTGTAAACCCAAGCCCAGCAAACTTAAATTGCCATAAAACCAAGCATGTGAGGAAACTTTGAGTTCACAGTATTCCTAACCCTAGAGCAGGACTCCACTGGAATAATCCATGACAGTAGAAGAGACCCCGGCTTGGGAAGGAACTGTCTGACTTGACCTTATATGTTCATCATTCTAGAGAGCTACACATTACAAGGGCTGAGGGCTGGATGGAGGAAGAGAGGGGCTTTGAAGAAGTACAGAATATCCAGGTTTGCTTCAAGCCAGCTAAGAAGAG